CAAGAGCAAGCGGTAGCCCCTGTGTGACAGGCCAAGACTTAATATGATACTAGGCTCTTGGTCGTATCCCCTTAAAGGAATCTATTTATGATTCCAAGCCTCGAGCTCTACCCCGGGCCCAGGAGTCTGGCCCTAACAGGTAAGTTTGGGTATGTAGCCTAGGCCTTAGGCCATAGGGGATAAAGTCACATACAGCCGTCTAACGTCCCAGGGGCAACTCCCATGAAAATGGTAAAGTTGGTACTTAATGCTCGCCATGGTTCTGGCCCGCACTCCCCTCAGCATGGCGGCATGGGTATACCGTTCCCCATAGCGACCCCTAGAGGATGCAGTTCGAAGTTCCCTTGAAAGGGAACGTCTCAGGTTACTTATGTAACCATGGTTCCCTGAGTAGGGAACGAGACACTGCGTCCTCTAGGCTTCCTGCCATGCTTCGGACGCAAGCTTCAGACGAAGAAGTGGATGACATGTTCTCCCGGAGCCTATTTATACTATAGTCGCACTGGTAGTGACGTCATGGCTGTCGCTGGCCAACGTGTTGTTGGTGTTTTTTCAATGTATGCTTCAGACACGGGTCACGACGAGGCGTTCCCCATAGCGACCCCTAGAGGACAGTGTGTTGCTTTCTGTAACCTTCATGGTGATGCAGGAGACAATGAGAAACAGCTGCAGATCCTCACTGAAATGGCATCAGTCAATGTTGTTGTTCTACCACAACTTGACAGAAATGACAAGAGTGCAGCACAGATGCAAAACCTGTACAAGGACAGAAAGCCACTTATTTGTCTTTTTACAGAGGATGAATATAGTGTAATCGAGACAAGAAAATGGAAATACAAAATTGGATTAAAAGACAGAAATCAGTCAGATGTATCTGAAGAACTCATACAAACTATAAATAAATGCCTCTCATTGTCAGAATCATCTTCTGTTTTCAAACTTGAAGATGTGTCCAAACAGTCAGGCATTAGAGTAGATGAGGATCATGACCATGACTGCAGAAAAGGAAAAAAAGCAGCCCATCATATGATGGGTTTACTGAAGGATAAATATCTGACAGAAATTAAAGAATCATTTCTGCCCTGTCAGGGGAAACTGTGGCATCAGTGGTGTGAAAAGAACAAAGAACTACATCGATTTCAGGGAAATGAAATAGAAATTGAAATAAATGTAATAAAACAAGACATGAAGAAAATCCGTGAAGACCAGCATGTGTTGGACATTGGTGACTTCATGAAGTTGTTTATTACAGAAATGAATTCACAATCTCCAAGTGAGAAGATATTTTTTCTGAAATGGCTCACAATCCTCCTGGATGAATACACCTCGGCTGACGTTTCTGCTCTGAATCACAATTATGATGAAAAGTGATCACAAGTCTTAAACCTGAAAGAGAAAAATGAAATAACTGAACAACAGATGGAAACAAATTTGACAAATGAACAAATAGAACTTGATAAGATATCAAAAGAGCTTCAAGCTGCAACCTTTGGCTTGGAGCACATCCTGAGGGAGATCGGTCAGATCTATGAATCATGTAAATCAGTGAATAAGAACAAGGAAGGTCTGCCGTGTGATTTTTCTTCTCTCCCGAGTCTTGCAGCAGAGATGATGATCTCTGGATTTCCACTGGAGCTGATGGATGGAGATGCTGCTCATGTTCCTGTGGTCTGGGTTACTGCTGTTCTACATGAACTCATCCAGAAACTGGGAGACAAGACAGTGTTTGTGCTGTCAATTTTAGGGATCCAGAGCTCTGGGAAATCCACTATGCTGAACGCCATGTTTGGACTCAGTTTGCCGTCAGTGCTGGCAGTGCACCAGAGGAGCTTTCATGCAGCTGGTCAGTGTTTCAGAGGAGATGAAAACACAGCTTAACTTTGACTATATTCTTGTTGTTGATACTGAGGGACTTCATGCACTAAAATTATCTGGAAGGTTAGCAAGACATCAGGACAATGAAATGGCCACATTAGTTGTTGGTCTTGGTAATCTAACATTGATTAATATCTTTGGAGAAAACCCATCAGAGTTGCAGGACATTCTTCAGATCGTTGTTCAGGCCTTTATGAGAATGAAGAAGGTTAATCTGTCTCCCAGCTGCATGTTTGTTCATCAGAACGTTTCAGAAGTCACAGCTGGAGAGAAAAACATGGAGGGAAGGAGACGACTGCAGGAGACACTGGATGAAATGACAAAACTTGCTGCTAAAGATGAAGTCTGTGATGCAGAATGCTTCAGTGATGTTATTACTTTTGATATTCGGAAAGATGTGAAATATTTTGCACAGCTGTGGGAGGGCAGCCCACCAATAGCACCACCAAACCCATCATACTGTGAAAACATCCAAGAGCTAAAAACAATGATTTTTAGCCATCCCTCAAAATCAGATGGCTTCAAGCTGACATGCCTAAAGGATCGTATAAATGATCTCTGGGAGGCTTTACTGAATGAACGATTTGTGTTTAGCTTCAGAAATTATCTGGAAATTGCAACATATCGAAAACTGGAAACAGAATACAGCAAGTGGTCCTGGAGTCTCCGCAGAACCATGCTGGATATAGAGAACAAACTCTACAACAACATAGAAAATGAAACAATTGATGAAGTTTCAGAAAGTGACCTTCAAGAAAATCTAAAAGAGAAAAGTGGAGAAGTGGAAAGATTAATGTCAGAATTTTTTGAGAAAGACAAAGATAAAGATACACTGATACAGTGGAAAGCATTGTTTGACATCAAAATCAAAGAGCTAAGGGAAAGCACTGTGAGAGAAACAAAAAAAGAAATTAAATGAGATTCTTCAGCAGCGAGATATAAAGAAAAAAATTTAAGCTCAAAGGACACGCCATGAAAATACTCTCTTGGAAAAGAGCAAAGAACTTGCAATAAAACTCAAAGACAAAGCAAATGATGAAGAAATCCTGAAAAAAGAGTTTGATACCTTTTGGAAAAAGTGTGTTAATATGATTAAACAGAGAAACTCCTCCAGTCAAAGAGATTGATGTTTTAAAAGACATGAAACAACTCCTCAGTGATATCTATAAAAGTGTCCCCTCAGATGCCTGGACAGAGAACAGGGATATTTTCTCTGTGTGAAGTTATGCAGATTATGTGCAGTTAAATAAATCCAGTCTAATTACAGGACATGCTGAAAATGCCATCAAACCAGATAAAGTGAAGTTTGATTACACTTTGTCTACAGAGGATGAAACCCAAATTAGAGCCTTAGTCAATGACATTGCTCAACATGCAGACAATATGATCATGTCATATAACATTACAAAGATGGGCTACAACAAAACCTACACTCAGGAACTTGCAGGTTATATCAAAGCAAGAGTAATGGATTATGAGCAAGGTTTGAGGAACTATGTGTTCACAAAGGAATTTTCTATGGATTTGGTCATTTCTATCTGTAAGAGAGAAAACAAGGTAATTACTGACCAACACAGAAGGTTCAGGGAAGCCAATGATCCTGTTTTCTATTTTGAACTGAAAAGCAAAGAGTACTATAGTATTTTCCAGAAATACTGTCAAGGTGCAACATCAGCTGCCATTTTTGGTGAGATCATCTGTCAGAAACTGAAAGAGCCCATTCAAAAGAGTGTCTACAAAGATACTGCCAGAGATTTGACTAATGAAATTAAAACAAACTGTGAATCACTAAATGGAAACAGATCTAAACTAGAGAAGCACATCCTCAAGAGCCTGGCAGAACAGGAGGATTTTGGCAAGTACATTACATACTTTAATAATCCCAGAGATCACTTAAAGAGTTTTATCAGAGATGAAGTCAGTCAGTACATCACTGATAAGTTTGAAGTCAGTGTTTGCCCCAAGATGAACGAGAAAACAGAACAACTCCACCAGAAGATCATGGACGCGGTTCATAGAGCGACTACAGTGGTCAACACGACCAGCAAAGATGTTCAGAAGTGGTTGGAAATTTTCGCACTGCAGCTTTCAGATGTGCTGATATTCTCTGTAAAGGACCTCAGTGGAGTGAGTCATGAAGGTGTGGATGATTTCAACCTCCTAGAAGATGTGATAAGTGTAGAACTTGATTCAGTATCATTAGAAATGCAAGATAAATTCAGCACAAAGACATTTCCAGTCAATCTGGAAGAGAAGGACAGACCAGATGAGATTCTGATTGATCATCTCTGTCAGTGCTGCTGGGTTCAGTGTCCGTTCTGTGCAGCCACCTGCACCAACACTGTAGAAAACCATTCTGGAGATCACAGTGTTCCTTTCCATCGAGTGAATGGTCTCACTGGGTGCTGTTATGAGGGAACAGAGTGTCTCAGTGCAGATTTTTGCACATCTTTAGTGATAACTGGTCAAATGTTCTATACAGGTCAGTGGATTAAATGCAATGAATACAGAAAAGCAGGAAATGTTTATGCAACATGGAGCATCACCCCTGACTTCTCTGAGCTGTGTTACTGGAAGTGGTTTGTGTGCAGATTTTAGGAAGATGTAGCAGAATACTTTGAGAAAAAATTGCACAGGTGGCATGAAATTGCATATGTATGGAGCCAATACTCAAAAGAGCAAGCTATTGCGAGCTTGGATAAATACATCTAATGACGGATGAACATGAATCACATGTAGGTCTCTAATTCATAGACCACAGTTTGAAATTTCAGTTTCACACTGTCAATATCTGAGATGCTGTTTTTTCCCATGCAATGTATACAAAGGCCTCCTAAAAGGACAAAAAGTCCATTTCCCCTGTAGCTCTAAAATATCAATACATGTGCAGTTAATACAAAGTTACAAAATTGCAGGTAAAAGTACATGTAAAAAAGACAAAGACTGAGGTGAAACAATAACAGTAAACAGTTTTTGTCTTTACATTTTATGTCCTCCCACTAGAGGACAATGCATTCTATATGGTGACAAGTGCACAGGATGGTGATCAGTTAATAAGCACTTCATTTTTGTGTAATCATGTTTTTACATTTTTGCTGTTGATATGTGACCATGTTGCAGTGCAGTGGATAATACTGCATTCTTGTAAATTCTGTTATCTGAATTAAATCCAGTTATGAGCAAAGAACAACGTCAAGTGTGATACAAGTAAGACTTTATTAACTACATAGAGTTTGATACTTGCACGACTTGTCTGTCTGACAGAGTCCTGATGGAATCTGAAGGCTCAAGTTGATCTTTGCTGAAATTGGTTGATGAAAAAGAACCAGGTTGAGCCAGAGGATCTTTGGTGAAATGGAAAGTCAAGGCCGAAGCCTGGCGCGAACTTAGCGGGTTGCAGAAGCGTTCTAGCTCACATCCTCATCTTCTCAGAATCTAACAGAACCGCAGACTGAAGATTCTATAAAGCCCATATTTATAATACATTATAAGGGTATTTTTATGGCATTATAATGAATGCATAATGCATTATAAAAAACCTTATAAGATGTTATATCATCATATTAACATTCATAAGAACAGTTTTGATGTATATGATGGTTATATCTTTTAAGAGTATGATGATTCATAACAGTGAACATGTTGCATCCACTTAAGTTACAATGGATTACATTTCTCATAGTTATAATGCATTATATGTCTCATATCTTGCCATCTTTCTTATGCTACTTTACTTAAAGCAATCAAAGACCACCTATAATATAATAATAATAATAATAATAATAATAATAATGTTTTTTTCTCAAACAGCCATAAGATCAGATATCATATCAGATGAATGTGTAATATGACACATTTGCTTTGAACAATTATTATTGTAATATCAGTTTGATTATTTTGATGGTACCCTTTAGACAGTTGTTGATAAGTAACTCTGCAACTACATGTCAACTAGCAATAATTGGAGTATTAGTAGTATGTCTGCTAAATATATGCTAACACTTTATTTTGATGGTTCCCCAACAGACAAACTCACTATAAGTAACTTTGCAAGTACGTCAACACTCTACCAACCCTAACCTTAACCTAAGCCTACTAATACTCTGAGAGTTAGTTGACATGTAGTTGCAAAGTAGCTTATAGTCAATAGACTAAGGGGACCATCAAAATAAAATGTAACCTAACATATAAAGATTGCATTTTTTTCAGGTGAAATTATTAACTAGCTCACATCAAAATTAATATTAGCCTCACAAATAACACTACATCTTGTAAGTGGTTAGATGTGGAGTAAGATCCTGTGCAGATCTTAAATAAACAATGTCAAGATATATATAGTCCATTATAAATGTAAAAGTAGATTTAATGTGGTGTTCATTGTGTGTTATAAATAATCATAATCTTAAAAGTTATAACCACAAATGCGTAAGCATTATAATGCATTATAATTGCTGTTATGATTATTTATAAGGTGATATAACATATTATAAGGTTTTTTATAATGCATTATGCATTCATTATAATGCCTTAAGAATACCCTTATAGTGTATCATAAATATGGGCTTCATAAAAATTGTTACCAGGATTTTTTTTTACCATAAGCAGTTTACGGTACACTTACTACAAGAACATTTTCCCTGGAACAACCAACAATAGGGTTAGTTCAATGTCTTAATGAAGGGTACAGTAGTGATGGAGAAAATCAGCAATATTATTTAATTATTTTGATTTGGCAAACCAGTTCACAGTTCAATTAATCAGTGAATCCATGGAACTGGTTTGCCAAATCATACAGAATCAATTAGAACAGATCAGATCTCTCCCCCTCCACAACTTTCGACACCTACTTCAATCATAGTTTTTAAATCTGTGGTGAGTAATGCGTGATGATAAGGGGTTTCATGACACTTTACATTCAACATTTATCTGCAGTAGTGAACACTTGTGAGTATGCAAATATACCTCTGTACATTTGGTACACATAAGGTGTATGTGCATTAACATGAGTATTGCAGAAGGCAAGAATCTTATTATATAGATATATCAATAAAGGTCAAAATAAAAAAGTGTTTATATATGGTTAATACAGAAAAGAGTACCGTGACAGTACCATAGTATAGTGATGGTATCAGATGGTACCTTGGTATACTATGGTACCTTGTGGTATTTGGTACTGATATGTGACATGTATAATGTAAAGAATAACAATGTATATCTTTGGAAACAGAAAAGTTTTGGTTATGTTGTAGGGCATCTCCTACATCCAGCTCTCCTGGAGTCCCTAATGTTGAGCTTCCCCAGCTGTAATCTAAAGTACAGCGCATCCGGAAAGTATTCACAGCATTTCACTTTTTCCACATTTTGTTATGTTACAGCCTTATTCCAAAATGGATTAAATGAATTATTTTCCTCAAAATCTTCCAAACAATACACCATAATTACAATGTGAAAGAAGTTTGTTTGAAGTCTTTAAATCGATAAAATCACATGTACATAAGTATTCACAGCCTTTGCAATGACACTCAAAATTGAGCTCAGGTGCATCCTTTTTTCAGTGATCATCCTTGATATGTTTCTACAACTTGATTGGAGTCCACCTGTGGTAAATTCAGTTGATTGGACATGATTTGAAAAGGCACACACCTGTCTATATAAGGTCCCACAGCTAACAGTGCATGTCAGAGCACAAACCAAGCCATGAAGTCCAAGGAACTGTCTGTAGACCGCCGAGACAGGGTTGTATCAAGGCACAAATCTGGGAAAGGGTACAGAAAAATGTCTGCAGCATTGAAGG